GATTTCCGAAATAGCTATCACTTCTACCATTTTTTCAAATTGTTGTTGCTTTTCCACAATAAATTTTTCATTTAAAAATGGCCTCGAGCTCATTATAAAAATTGTTGAATATAATTGTTAAATGGCCAAAAAATATATTTTTTAGTTTAATAATTTTTTGAAAACTAGGTATTATGTATATTTTTCTTTTTTTAATTTAGTTTTCATTTCATTTTTAAACATGATTGTTTCACAAAGATTTTTTTTTAATTAATGAATTAAATTTAATATTTAAAAACTTAAATATTAATAATTTTTTTTTTAGTTTCAATCTTTTTTAATTTGATTTTCACTTAATTGTTAGACTTTATTTTTTTAATTAATTTTTGTTATTCCTTTTTTGGAAACTTATTTTATTTATTTTTTATTTTTTCAATTTCATTTTTAACTTTTAATTTTTGAAAAACTTGACTTGACTAAAAGACAAACAGAACAACGTTATTATAGAACAGAGCTTTGAAAGACAGTTGCCAGAATTGGCCTGTTATCCGTAACTTAATAATAAGTTACTTAGAATGAAATGAACTTTAAAAAATAGTTTCCTTTCTAAAACAATAAAGTCTAAAAATTAAGATGTTAATTATGGTAATAATTATGGAAATAAACAAAAAAGACATTACAAAAACTAAATAAGATTCCAAAAATTAAAAGTAAAAAATAGTTACCTGTTAAAAAAATTTAATATTAATTTAAAAGAAAATCTAATTAGAAAAAAATAATAATTGACAAATAGTTCCTGAAAATAAAACGAATAAACAAAAAATAAAAATAAACAAAAAAGACAAAATCAGTTTCGAAGCATTTAATTAAATAAAAAAGTGTTTTTAAATCAATACAATCTATATTTAAAATTAAAAAATTTTAATTACAAAAAAGGTAAAATGAGTTACTAAAAATTTAATTAAAATAAAAAAATATATATTTTTTCAATTTTTATTGTGGCGTATTCATATTTATTTCAATAGTGTTATTGAGCTTTGTACCACGATTTGTTTCGTTAGGAAAAATGGAAAAAACAACAACCGCTTAAGCATTGTTGTTTTTTTGTCTATTTTTCCTAACAACACAAATCGTGGTACGAAGCTCAATAACACAATTGAAATATATATCTTTTATTTAATAAAATTTTAAATTGTTGCTTTTCCACAATAAGTTTTTCATTAAAACCGGCCTCGAGCTCAATAAAAATTGTTGAATAAAATTTTAAAACTTAAATAAAAGAAAATAAAGAATTAAATAAAAATATATAAAAAAAGTCAGAAATTTAAAATGTATATTTTTCTTTTTAAAACAATAAAACCTAAAAATAAAAAAATACTAATTAAAAGGAGATGAAATGAGTTTCTAAAAATTAAATGAAATTAAGAAAAGTTTCTCTTTAATACAATCAAATCTAAATATAAAATATAAAAATTTAAATAAAAAAATAAAAAATAAATAAAAAATGTCGCTGCCCGACGAATCGAACTTGGTTGCCTCGAATGGCACGCTAGTGCTCTGCTTGCACGGCAAAGCGAAAAGTTATCTAAATATTTATTTCTATGTTTAACTTCAAACTGAAGAAAAAAAGTGAAAGATGCGCAAAAAAGGGCGGAATCTGGTGCCATACTTAAACTTTTCATAGCTAATGAGCCCTTATATATTAACTCTCATTTAACGATCACTAGTTAAGTGCTCGGTAGAGCTAATTTAGTTAATGTTTCTGAGTGCGGCTGTTGGTACATACAATTTAATGAAAAAGATGAACTGCTCTCCTTTACTCACTCTTACTCACTTGTGTTTATTTCTCACTCTTTCTTTCTTCCTCGCTTATGCTTCCTATCTCTCTCTCTTCACCTCTCTGGCCTGCTCCCTTTCCCACTTTATTCTAACACTTCCCTCATATCTCACTCCTTCTCAAATCTTATTCTCTCTCTCAAAAACTCGCTTTTTCCTCCCCCTCTCTTTTCCGTTCCTCCCTTTTTCAGAACCAAGCATGTCAGCTTCGCCCGCTCGCATACACTCACCTCCTTCGACGATGTCAATTTGGGGGGCTTTCGTTCCTCTGGTCGCATAAAGACCGCTCGCAGCCAAGAGCGTCTTATTGGCGGCAAGAAACCGATCATTGCCACAGGCTCGTTGTACGAGTCTATACAGCTGCCACCGCAAGTGGGGCAGCCGTCCTTAATGCATTCACAACAACAGCAACAGCAGCAACAACAACAACAACAGCAGCAGCAGCAGCAGCAACCCCATCCGCCGACTAATTATATCACGACTTTACCGCCCACGATCGCCATGCATCCACATCAGCAGGCTATCATGCATCAGCATGCGCCACCACACATCCATCCATCGCATGGGCATGGGCATTCTCACCAGCATCATCATGGACCGCCTATTCATATACATCAATTTGTACCGGCAGCTTTTGCTGGCGCCGAATTGGGACCAACGGTGCAAACTGAACAACCGATTTCCTTGTTATCCGGCAGGCCATTGTCGCACATGGATGACATACCGCTGGGTATAGGTGGTGGTGTTGCTGGAACTGTACTGCCGACCGGTTTGGGTGTGCTTACATGCACTACGCAGGTGCTGGCGCCGCCTAGTCCGGAGGTGCTGGTGGTGGAGAAGAAATTTCGCAGTGCCATGAAGACGCAAGCTACACAAACGGAGGTGCGAAAGGACGCATTCGCGCAGGTCTTGGCGCTAAGTCCACGCACGATGCATAAGGTATGTGGGAGGAAGGTCGGTTTGATATAGTTCTACTCACGCCTTTATTACAGGTCAAAGTGGTATCACAAGGCGCGCAGACGAATGGTCTGTTGAATGGCAAGAAACTTACAAAGAGTCTGTCAGAAATGCCGAACGGACAAGCTTTACAGAGCGCAGAGGAGCGGCATATGAGGTATGCCAAGTGCATGCTCTCCGATCGAAACTCGCATATTTCCCAACTCTTTCGTATGTTTTAACTTTTCCTCTGGCTCTTTGCAGAAACTTCATCGACCACGGCGTCGTTTATCGCACGCAGTCAGAGGAGCCGCCAAAGTCACCACTAGATCTCGACGATCCGAGCAACATAAACTACTATGAACCACCGCCGCCGCTTGATACAATGTCTTACTATAGCCGACGCTCGTCGCAACTGCCCTCCGAGGAGAGCACGCCCTTCTTCCCGAAAGACGCAATCGCCTTCGACTACGAAAGCAACAGTTTGCCACGGCGCGCTTGCACATTCCATCGAGAAAGCAGTTTTAGCTCGAATAGCCTGCCGCGTCGTGAGACGCTACATGCGCACGATATTTGCAAGCACATTACCGAGTGTCCAGAGCTGATGGGCGACATCAATGGCAATGGCAACGGCGGTGCTGGACTGCTTGACTTTTCGAAGCCACATTTGCTGCCACCGCCCAGCGAGTACTGTAAGAATGCAGATGAGCCGCTAACGTCCACCTCCACACTGACCGCAGAGCCTAGCGTCGCCGCCGAACCTACCGATTTGCATAGACGCAAGTCAATGGTGGCCACGCTACTGCCATTAGATGCCGACATCACACCTACGCCCTTCAGACGCGACGACATACGTCGCCAATCGATGCCCATCTATGTGAAGCAGGAGAAACTAATTGACGGTTTTGGGCCGCGCACATCCTTTCGCTCCAAGGTTAAACCAAAAACAGTGATAGCCGGTGGTGATATCTTCGATGAGAAAGAGATATTTATAGACTTCAAGCCGCATGTTGCCATGCCAAAGTCGATGGCGCAGCAACAAGTGGCGCCAACTAAATATCGGCCTACATATAAGCTACCAACACAGCCATCGGCGCCTTCAATGGATGGTGCGCAACAAAAATCGGTAGATGAATGCGAAAATTGCCGCGCACTGCAGGCTGCCGATTCGCGTTCCTCTGTAAGTGAAGATGACTACGAGGATGAGGCTGAACGCGAGCAGCAGCCAGCCGTTATAGAGGCAGATGAAGGCGAGCAGGAGGAAAGCGATCAACACGATCCATTGTACGAGAATGTGCCAAGCGTACACAAGCCCACAAGCGTACCCAGTATAGCGGAACGCCGTGCGAGTATGCGCAAACGTTCAGTGAGTTTAGACGAGCAAAATGTGGCGCAACAGAAAGCGGTTGATGTGTCGGCGCCACCCAGTCCCTGCCGCGAGGAGCTATTATTTGCGAATGCGTCCACTTATCCTTCCTCGGACTCGCTGGCAAACGATGTTACGCGCGATCACTCGGATGGAATTTGGAATGAGTCGCAAGTGACTGTTTTGACAGCCGAACAGAAGGAGGGCTCCGAGACCTCGTATACCTCGAATATGCTGCTAACACCAACAACGAGGCGGAAAAATCTGCTGCTGCAACATCAACAGCGCAGCTCCGTGGACACAGACGCGCTCGATTTGGAGGATACGCAAGTCGATTTGGTGAGTTTTACCGAAAGCGCACACGAAGCTAAATTTTTGAAGTGAAACTTCTAGCCGACTTCGGACAAGGATATAGATATATAGAGAGATAGAGATATAGATATATAGAGAGATAGAGATAGAGATAGAGATAGAGATAGAGATAGAGATAGAGATAGAGATAGAGATAGAGATAGAGATAGAGATAGAGATAGAGATAGAGATAGAGAT